ACTCAATTTAGTCATCATCCTCGAAGACTGGCTTCTACTTGAGGCTCAGATCTGCTGTTGATGAAGGAGGGTTCTTCAGCTGCTCCACGAACCTGGTCTCTTCTAAGGCCCGAGCATGAAGTTGGGTGGAAGTCTTTAGGGTGTTCTTGATGGTGGGAAAACCTATGGCTAGTCCCTATGTTAAGTCCTTACCTGGCTGCTTCAAGGTAGGATTTTGGATGTTTTGCTTTGGCGGTAGGAAAGTTTGTGGCCAGGACTAGGTCAAAATGAAAGTTTGGATTTTTTGGGTATTGTTCCCCCTGATGATTTTCCCCCAAGGATTGCTCCTCACAAGGCTCCTATGAGGGTTTGCTTGATCAATGTGGTGCCGGATAGGTTACCTAAGTGGATTTGGTGGTATTCGCTCTCCTCGTTGATTGTCATAGTGGAACTGGTTGTGGCTGGAGACAACTTGAGTCTTCCAGGAGTCTTCTGTGTTATCGGCTCGTGGCGTTGATGTTGGTGTCGTTGTTGATGTTGATGTCGGCGCTGGTGCTGCTGTTGACATTGGTACTGGCACTGCTATTGATGTCGATGTTAGCACTGATGTTGGAACGGTTTTGGGGGAAACTTCTTCCTAGTGATGACTTCCCAACCCATCCCAGTGCTGATGTGAGATGATTGAGACGGGGTCTTCCTTGTAGGCACGATGCTGGCTTCGTGGATATCTGCTTCCTTATAGTATTGTAGGGCCGAAAGTTGCTTCCCATGTACCTCCAAGTCTGTTGTCACTGGAACCATGCAAGGAGAACACTCATCCAAGATGAGCAGACTGTCTATGTGTGGCATGAGAGCTGCTTTCGCCTGTGCGAGAAACTCCATTCCCAAGACAACCTGAAAATCATCCAAAGGTACCATAAATAGATTGATGGGTCTTTTTCATGACCCAACTTGGAGTTCTACTCTACGAGCCATGCCTTCTACTGCTTTGGCCCCTGAGTTGACAGCCCTGATCCACCCTGTTTGTTTGGTGGTGGTCAAGTCGAGTCACTTTGCCTCCGCAAGCAAGATGAAGTTGTGGGTGGCCCTAGTGTCCACCAAGGCTTGGGTCGGCCTCCCATCGAGGGTGATGTCTACATATTTCGGCCCCTTGTGGGCTTTGGTGGGCCACTTGGATGTGGCCTCTTTCTTAACCATGGCATTGATGAGTTGAAGGACGCCTGCTCTTGGCGCCGTTGTGGGTTTCTCCTCATCACTCTCTCCACTGTCGCTGAGTTTGGCAATGAGGGCATTGAGTTTCTTCCGTGTTGGATAGTCACTCATCCAATGATCCCCTTTGCAAAGGTAACAAGGCGCAGGAGGAGCAGTTGGTCTCCTAGCGAACTGGTGGCCCTAATAGCTTTGGGCTCCTTGCGGCTTCTTCCCTTGTTGGTAATTGTTGAGCTTGTTATGGGCATTGGCTTCTCTTGTGTAGAGGTTGATTTCTGATCTTCCCCACTCAAGCTATTGGTATGTGGGCTATATGGTTGGTGGTCTTCCTCTTCTGACTTCCTTAGATCAACTAGTTGCTCGTCCACCGCCATGGTTGTTGCTAAGTCCTTCACCCCACGCCGTTGTAGTTCAAGCTCCGCCCATGGTTTGAGACCATCCATGAAGTTGAACAAAAGGTCTTTGTCAAACATGTCAGAGATCTCAAGGGTCAGGGCTAAGAACTCTTGGACATAGTCATGCAATGAGTCTTGGTGCTTCAAGTTCTTCAACTTTCTTCGTGCCAAGTACTCAACATTTTCGGGGAAGAACTGTCGCTTGATCTCTCTTGAAATCGGCCCAGGTGTTGAGGGTCTGAGTGCCACATTCAATGTCCTGGCAACATCTACTCCACCATAACATTGCAATATCATTTAAATACATGGCGGTTGTATGTACCTGAGTTTGGTCATCATGGATGCCAATTGCGGAGAAGTACTGATCAAGTTGCCACAAGAAGTTTTCAAGCTCCCGAGCATCACGAGCACCAGAGTATGGAGTTGGTTGGCGCACCTTGATATGGGTTGATGGAGCGGATGAAGAATCGGTGGAATTGGCCATAGCTCTTTTCGTGTTTGTCAGCTCAGCCCTCATCTCATCCAATTGCTCTTGGAAGTTGTCCATCATGCCTTGAAGGCTGCTTTGGGAAGAGCTAGTTTGTGACTGCTACAAGGTGTTGTGGACGTCTCGGAGGGCTCTGTTGAAGCGGCTCTCCAGCTCCACCACAACATTCTCTACAGTCTCCATGTTAAGATGGAGTTCGTCGACCTGATCTCGAGTCTCACCTATTGTTGCCTCGCAACATAGAATGTGCATGTCCATGCTAGCTAGCTGGTCGACCGATTTGTCACACTTGCTAGCTTTAGTTGTGCGGCCCTTCAGGACTTGTGTCCTGGTTGGTTCGTTGAGTGGAGCATCATTGGTGTCATGGGCTTGGTGTGGCTCGTGTAGTATGTCATCGGCAATGTCACGGTTGCTCTTCATTGTATTGAATTTGGGGCGGTTGACAGGGTCCAATGTGCTTGTAGGAGCTCCTGCTCTGATACCAACTGTCACGGGACTAGTCGTTGGGGCCCCGTGCGGCACTCGAATGCAACAAGTAAGCCTAAGCAATAAGCAACAACACAAGAAAAAGGCAACAAAGATGGCACACGAATTAGACAAAAGGCAAATTGTATTGCATTAATGGATGGTAAACATAAGCACATAGATCAGTGTCAAGGGGATCTCATGCTTAACTTTACATGCTCTTGATTCACTTGACTACCTACCTTCCCTCAAAGAGTACGTTAAGCTTTTAGGGGAGTGACATAAAAATACATCAAAATGATGAAAAATCATACTAAGTAATTACAAGAATGCCATTGACAATCCCCTCGTACAAAAGTACATGCATAGTCCACCCATGACACACACTTGGACACTAAAGTGGCGACTATAACCACGATGGATGGCACTTGACGGCACGACAAAGGGAACACTTGTGACAAGAGGGCATGAGCATACACAGCACATTCAATGTCATTGATTTGTTTCTGAGGAGCCACTGTACCCGGAGTTTGATGAGCACTCGAGGCCGAGTTCTTCCAAAGTGGAGGGGAATGATGTAGACATACTTACTATGGTTGTTTGAATTTCTTCCTTTTGATATTTATTTGAATAGAATTAGTTGATTTCTCTAATTATTTGTTTTCCCTTAGCTAGGTAAGTAGCTTGGTAGGATTTGGAGGGTTTTCGGTTTTCCTTAACTAAGTAGGATTTAGTCTTTTCCTTAATAGGTTAGGACTTTAAGGCTAGGCTATATAAATCCCTTGTAAGTTTCTTTTCGGGAACCGGGTAATAAGAGACACATTGCTCTCCTACATAATTCTTATGTTTCATTGTCTTTTGTTTTAGACGTGTTCTAAAGCTTTTGTTCTTAAATAATTTAAGATTTATTTTTTCTTAAAATTTTAATAAAAATTGAAAATTATAAAAATAATTTATTATTTGAAAAAGTAGAATTATTATTTATATAAAAAACTAATTAAATAATTTTTTCCAATAAAATTAATAAAAATTGGAAAATATAATTATAAAAACTTAAATAAGTAATTTATGATTTAATTTTCTCCAAAAAAATAGTAAAAACTGAAAATTATAAAAATAATTTACTTTATCTACCTTGAATGATTTATATGTTTTATTTTATGATTATATGTTAAAAATAAAAACATATATATTTATTATTTGAAAAGATAGAGTTATTATTTATATAAAAACACTAAGTAAATAAAGTTTCCCAAAATTTTGATAAAAATTGAAAATTATAATTATAAAAGTTGAAATAGAGTCATAATTATTGTTGATATGTCCATCTTCTAGAGTCCTAGTATTGTTGATTGTAATACTTCTTTTCATATAACCTACTAAAGTGTGTATTTCTCATGTGTTTAAACCTAATTCATGCTTATTTATCAAAAAAAGAAAAGAAATACTTATTGATAGATACTTGTAAAAAAACTTATTCATAGATAATTCTGTTTTAGATTTAATGTTATTAATGTATTTATGTGATTTGTATGCATTCCCTAATGTATCCCAATGTTTCCATATCTTTTGTCTATATCCATACCTTACCAATAGTTAAACTAACCCATATGATACTTGAAACTAATGCTCTTAGAGACTTACCAATAAATTGACACTAATTCTTTTAGAGACTGCACTTTTATAAGCATATTGTTTTTAGAGATATTTCAACCTCCTCTTTGTTCCAAGTTCCAACCAAAGGAAGTAAATATGGGTGGATTCCTTGGGTTCAGTTTGGAAAGAGTACAAATATGTACAGTGCAAATACATGCAAAATAATAGAAAATATAAGATTTTGCACTCCACATATTTACATTTGCACTCCTTCCAAACTGAGCTTTGGGGTTTACAGTTTTGCACCCATCTCAAGATGGAGAGAACTAGGCGCCTTCAGAGATATTTTGCACTCAGGTCATGGTTTACGTACCGGTTTACCCTGTGATTAATTAGATCGCTCTCAGCCATCCTGTCCAATCCGAAACCAACAAAACTGGTCCAAACAAATTTACAGTGGCAGGTCCGGCCAAGTATCTCCCACACCTAGCTACTTGATGCTCTCAACTACCTATTAGGTTCAACGTATATTCCCGCGAAATGGGTATCTGAGTCCTATATTCTTTGTATACATTTGGGCCAAGTTGGCCGGTTCCACTTCTCGGACAAGGATCCGACTAAGACCCAACCAGACAAACTCCCCTAGCTTCTGGGTCCTTTTCTCTGACCTCATTGCAACCAAGGCCACACAAAAGCACACACATGCAGGAAGTCATCAAGGTGAACAAGTGACACACAGCAATTCTCACATTTCATCGAACACAAGAACCACAAAAATTGATCTCCAGAACATCCGTGGAGACGTGGTCACTCTATTTGCCCATCAAAGCTCTCCAAATCCTATCCACATCTCACAATAAATGTCTACATCCCACTTCAAATCTTAGTGGACTCAGGAAGCATTGATACTTTCACAGAGAGTAACTTGTGCTCTTCACCTGCAAATCAAAAGCCAACCTCCTTGAAACAAGAAAGGAGCTAGCTAGCCTGCCCATGGCTCAGTCCATGATGCTCATGTCTAGGGTGGCCGGCCATGTCTTGGATTTGAAGAGAGAGCCAGTGCTACAGTCCCAAGTTCAGAGGCTCCGGCCCAAGCCATTCTCTCATCTTGTGCTCCCTCCACTGTCTACCCGTCCACACAGTACTTCATCTTCTGCTAGCACAGTCGTTTCTCTCTTCAAGGCAAGAACCAAGGCCGCTCCAGCAAAGGTCTCTCTCTCTAGTCTGAGTTTTGAGTTCTTTGATTGCATAATGATCAAGAGGCTGAGAATTTTAGGTGAATATATATTTGTTCTGGTTTTAATTAAGGTTAGTTTTTGTTCTAATACAGGTTGAAAAGCCAAAGGAGAAGGTTGAGGATGGCATATTTGGGACCTCCGGTGGAATTGGATTCACAAAACAAAACGAGCTGTTTGTGGGTCGTGTCGCCATGCTTGGATTTGCTGTGAGTAGATTTCTATTTCCTTCTGCTGTTTGGTTTCTTACCTAGCTGGGAATATCTTCTTCATTGATTGTTGTTTTGGTTCAACCTCGAATCTGGGAGCATTGCTCAGAAATACGGCTTGACGCTTATAACTTGCCACGTGTTCCATATCTAGAGTGAGCTGTTCAGTGGGCCCCACATTTGAGATTTACTTACTGGGCTCAAATTAACTTGGGGTACTATGGAACTTGTCGTCTATCATGTGTTCCTCTTCATATATTTTATTTTATTTTTTCCTGCTATCTGCATATTTACTGAAATACCCTTATCAGTATCATCTTCAACTTTATCAAGTTTCCCTTACCCAACGTGGACCGGAGGCCGGAGATCCAACTTCTAACAAGTAGATGTGGCAATCGGGTCAGGGTCAGGTCGGGTTTGAATCGGGTCAAGGCGTTTTCAAGTTGTTTCGAGTTGGGCCAATATTCGGGTTGGGACAACAAGGATAGACCCTAACTCTCTCTAAATATTCAGTTAAGGTTGACCCACAGGCCAGATGGTTCAAGGGTTCAATATGTTGGGTGCGTTGGTCTTTGACCAAGTTAATGGATTTTGTTCAACTGATATACAACTGAGAATTGAGACCGAATTAGCCCCCACAATGTCCCAGAGCATATTTTCGCCATATATTAGAAGCATCTCCCGACGATGACATCATTCTAGATATTATTTTTGGGAAATGTTCTCAATACATGGCGGGTAGACCTGTTCATGGGCCGGGTGGCCCGACAGGCCGGCCCGGCCCCCAGACGGGCTTGAACAGGTATATGGGCTCGCGGGCTTAACCTCGGGCCAAAAAGCCCGGTTCACAATAAATTCGAACTGGGCTCGGGATTTGTCAAAATAGCCCGGCTTGACCTATAATTAAACCTAAAAACCCTAGTCGAATACCCCTATTTTTTTCACCTCTTTCCCTTATTTTTCCGGCCGAACCCTTCTTCTCCACATCCTTTTTCCCTTCTTTATATTCTTTTTTTAATGTAAATAAATTTTGAATTTATACTTTTTTTAATATAAATAAATTCTAATTTATATTGATTATTGAATAGGGAAAAATTCTAATTTTTTTTATTAGGTTGGGCATCGGGCTCGGGCTCGGGCTTCGGGCTTTTTATCAAGGCCGGGCTCGGGTCCAAGTTGTAGGCCCGTTGGTCGGGCTGAGCTCGGGCTCAGGCCTAACATATTTCCATTAATGAAGAGTAAAAGCTCGGCCCGAGCCCAGCCCGGCCCGGCCCATGAATATGTCTAATGGCAGGAATGTGCTGTGGGACGTTGTGGGGGGCAGTCTTGTGTGAGGCTGATTTGAACTCCTGAGAATTGGGATTTGTTCTTCATAGAGCCTACCCCACAGGCACATCCCAATGTGCATCGGAAACATCTCTAATGAACAATAACACATAATTACGGGAGATGTTTTCGATACATGGTGGGATGTACCTCTGAGGTTGGTTTGAGAAGCAGATCCGGTCTCTTCGACTGACTCTATCAACACCAGTTCGAAAATGTTATCTTCTTGTTGGAGTCACTAGATAGGAAACCCTAACCTGCTTTTTACGGGTTGGATCCGGTCAGGTTCATGCGTTGGGTCAACCTTTTTGCCAGGTCTACTGACAAGTAACATTTGAATCTTGAATCACCTGGTTTGGGGCAATCAGATCTGATCCATCCAATGAAGGTTCTGATACAAATCGATGCTGATGAATCTTAACACGTGGCAAATTGTGGGAGCCTTTCTTTCGCTTGCAACTGTGGCAAGCTAATTGCAACTATCACACTTAATCTTAACAATATGTGACTTTTTCAATGTTGTAGGCATCCTTATTGGGTGAAGGAATTACAGGCAAGGGAATTCTAGCACAACTGAATCTGGAAACTGGAATTCCCATTTATGAAGCTGAGCCTCTGCTTCTGTTTTTCATCCTCTTTACTCTGCTCGGAGCAATTGGAGCATTGGGTGACCGTGGTCGCTTTGTAGATGACCCTCCCACTGGACTTGAGAGGGCAGTGATTCCCCCAGGAAAAAGCTTCAGAGCAGCTCTTGGTCTCAATGAAGGAGGTGAGGCATCAAGTCTGTAATGTTAGTTTGTTGCAGTGTTTTCCAGCCCATTGTTGACCCGGTGGTCGGACCAGTGATCTGGTCACTATCCCAGTTTATATCAACCACTAACTATTATTGACTCGGTCAATCCATTTAGCAAGTTAGCAGGTTTTGAAATTTTTGTATTGGAGAAAACCTATGATACCGAAAAGATATGGTACTAAAAGAGCTTTGACCAATCAAAGCACCAATTTATTGGCTGTAAGCTTCTCCGGTATCATAGTCGAACCTCTATATTGATAATGCCATGGATTGATCCATTGATGAGCAACATGATTGAACCAATGACCACTTGAGCCAGAGGAAGACCGGTTCAACTTCCTATCCGGGTTTTAGAACACTTGGTTATTGTGATTCCAATCCAAAACATTCCGAGACCTACTTTCATTCAAGTAATTCTGTTTGACAAGTTTATTTCTTTCTTTTGTTCAAGGTCCTCTATTTGGATTTACAAAGGCCAACGAGCTCTTTGTGGGAAGATTGGCTCAACTGGGGATTGCTTTCTCTTTAATTGGAGAAATAATTACAGGAAAGGGAGCTCTAGCACAGCTAAACATTGAAACTGGGGTCCCCATCAATGAACTTGAACCACTACTGTTGTTTAACGTTGCCTTCTTCTTCTTCGCAGCAATTAATCCCGGTACTGGTAAATTTCTGACAGATGAGGAGGAAGATGAGTAGGAGAAACTGGGTTATGATGCGTATAAGGCATTTCTGTACTTCATTAATTGTTAAATGTCATACATTTTCATCTCCTTTCAGCTCTGGTTTCTCATTTGCTTGCAAGCCCCCACCTGGCTATATGTGCAATAATGTTTAAATATTTGAGTTTTTCAGCAACAAACCCTCAAGCATTGAATGCTCGATGGTTACTTATTATCTGGTGGTTTGAATTTGAAATATGACACTCAATAGAGTGGAATGGCAGAACAGAATTCGTGTAAATAGTTGGGACTTGGGACTTGGAGCAAGGTTTACTTGAGTTGAGTATTTAGTAGGTTGAATTTGAAACAAGTCCAAGTGTAGGTAAGGGTTAGAGAGAATGAGCGAGTATTTTCAAGAATTTATTTTATTAATATTATAATATAAATATAAATGATTTGATTTGGTTTCTAAAATACAAAAAACTGAACTGAAACGGTAAACCGAAATTTAAATGAATGGCAAACCAAACCACCAATTTCAGTTTAGTTTGGTTTGGTGTGGACGATATAATGAACACCCCCCTACCCCTACTATGTATGTAGTTGAAAGCTGGCGCTGTAGATTGGGATGTATTGATAAAAAAAAAAAAAAAAAGTATTTGGTTGGGATGTGGTATTTCTTCCTTTAAACTACAAAGTTCGCCGATCTACTATTATTTAGTCCTGATTCCTATGAGAAAGCAAACGGGGTCGAACACGACTCCACATCTCTTATTCACGAGAATTCTGCCCATGCCTATTCATGATACATCACCCCCTGCAAATTGGGAACATTTCCCCTTACATAATACTATGAAGAGGATGAGATGTTCTCCATGTGTGATTAAGATAAACGTGAATAGGAGATTCTGGCCCCCAACACACACACACCCAATAAATATTTCATTACTTAACCGTTCAATTGATTAAGGGGCCATTGCCCACGTGATATTCTTATCAATTGCAGTTTAAAAAATAAATCACAATCATATGGTTTGAAAACAAAATGTTTCTCAAAATAAAAATAAACAACCATTGTGCAAATGAGTTCTTTGTTTTAAAAAATAGGGTAAAATACAAAACCTTCCCTGAAGTTTCTGACAATATAGTTTTACTTTAGCAAAAGCCTCCCCTAAATTTTTAAAGAATTTGACGAAGACCTCCCTTCTTCAATGACCAAGACGAAAAACATCAATAGTTACAAAATTACCCTTAGGCGTCATTTAATGATTTTATCCTAATCAAGCAACAAAAACCTCCTAGTGTGGCTTTGTCCCTCTTTCTTTCAAGTTTCAACCTTCTTCCTTCTTGTTTCTTTAGAGAGAAAATTTCCTTCTATTCTATTCTTTTCCCGCTTGCCACCTTCGTTAGGAGAAAGAAAGAAAGAAAGTGATATGAAAGAAGAAAAAAGTGGGTTGGGTTTTCTGCTATTCCATCTCATCCAATGTTTTTTCTAGTCGGTTAATCTTACAACTGTTATTTTTGGTGATCACGACTAACCAACTTGGCTAAAAATCCATGTTTGGAAGAACCTAGTGCTCTCTTAACCAGGGTCACCTTTGTCTCCAAAGTTGCCTGAGCAGTATCAACCGGTACAATGGTTTGAGATTAAGAATGAAAATGGCAGTTTTCATGGATACCCTATGTTGCCATGTATAGTTTTAATCCAGAAAAGTAATCCGAATGGTTATCCTATACGATGTGTGGTTGTCTGTCTTGTTTGATTTAGAGAGGTGATCGATATGTTCATTCTATATATCAAACAAGGGGACTCATTGGACATGCATGCCATGTGTTTACTTCCTAGGATAGATTAGCTCTATGCCATCTAGCTTGATCATGTCTACCATCTATGATTTCTTCTCGATTCATTGATTCTGGGCAATAGAAGAACTCTTTTTTATATCATAATTCCCATAAAAGTATTTTGCTTAGCTATTAGGCATGTTTCTTTTTCCTCCGAAGTTTGATAAAGCACCATGCATGAAGCATGGATTAATTATTCTAAAATCTTGCTCCATGAATAATAACAAAGAAAGCATGGGAGGAGGAAGTTGTTTCGCTGGGTTTCATGGAGGTTACAAATGATGTGTTGGGGGACTTTGTGGTTGTTGATGAAAACTATCTGAGTTGGAAGAGGTTGGATGCTGTGAAATTATTAGTCTAGGGGGCTTCAGACAAGTTTTTTTTTTTTTTTTTCAAAGTTTTGGAGCTTCATATTAAACAAAAGAAGGTATGGGTGAGTTTAGCATACGAAAGGGAAGTTACCTCTTTGGGTAAAATAGATGTTTTAGAAAAATTGATTCATTGCTTTAGCATTTTCCGTCTTGATCATTAACAGAAGGGAGGTTTTTGTTGCATTCTTTAAAAATTTAGGGGAGGCTTTTGCTAAATTGAAACTATAGAAGAAGTTTTTATGATTGTTAGAAACTTCTGGGAGATCTTTTTATTTTACCCTAAAAAATATGAATTGTTTTTGAAAACAAATCATCATATTTTTACTTTTAAATCCAAAACAAAGTTACGTAACATGTTTTTAGTTTTTGTTTTTGTTTTTGTTTTTGTTTTTTTTTTTTTTTGACATGGCACATTTGTAAACAGGTGAAAACAAAAACATTGGTTCATTAATTCACTTTATCCAACACCCCCTAAACCAGCTAATAAATAATTTAATGTAATTAAATTGATTAAAGTGCTCTATAATGCATATATGGTTAAGTTTTATATATGATTTTGCATTTGTTGACACAAATTTGGTGCACAAATTTGAAGCACAAAAAAAAAATATGAAGACAAATTCAAATATTTAATATATTTTTTTATAAATGTAATTGGGATATAATCTTTTTTTTTATGTTTTTTTAAGCAAAGAACGTCCTTTGATTCTCTTGTCATGGAAACGACCTAAAATGCTTGATGACTTATAATTATGAATTATTGCGGGCACAACCTAATAAATTTGATGATTTACAGTTGTAGAAGGAATTTGGAGTGATTAATTGTATGTTGATTTGAACATGAATTGTGATGCTAATCTTTAATTGTAGAAGGTGTTCGGGTGGTATCTTATTTGGACGAGGACGTCGCTTGGCAGATTACATGGCTGCCCTTCTCGAAGAGCGCAATTTAGAGAATATACAAGGAAGAAAACTTCGTAGAGAAAAGGGAAATCCTCCAAACACCTCGACGCATAACCTCATCCCGACAATTTCGGAAGCCTAATCCGACTATGGTACAGATGTTTGGTTATAAATAGGCACCCCACACTCGAGGTAAAGGACTTTTGGCTCTCCATTCACCTAACACCCTTTGTTGTTACCTCCTCGGCTCGAACTAGCACTATTCTATGTTGCTCATCTCGATTGATCCTGTTGTTTTATTAATTTGAACGACGGACTGCCTATCCGAACAATAATTCATTGGGGCCTCTGACCCCTTATGTTGTTGCAGATCTCTTTGGTATACGGTTTCATCCTTCCCCTTCAACCTCATCCAATAGGTATGATTATCCGATTGCATTCTCAATTCACAACACCTCAAATCAGATAGCATCAGAAGGTCCTTTAGTTGTAATAATTTGCTGAAAGCTTTCTTGATAACAAAAGTTTGATAACTTGAACTCTTGAATTGAAAATTGAAGCAATTTAATTATAGACATCTCGATTGCACTGATTTGAGGACGGAAGCTGCAACAACTTCTAATGGGCATGATCCCATGAAATCGTCTTCCTTTTTTTCCACAAGAAAAAGGTTTTCAGGAGCTGAAGGAGTGGCCCCTTCCTCGTGTTCTCTCCTCAATTTATAAAGGTATCTGATTTAAAGAGACCCACCTATAAAATTTGAATCAAGTTGAAAGAAAGAAAACATTTTCGGCCAATTTCCTTCTTCAATTGACAACATTAAGGATGATAATATAGGTAATGATTTCCATTTAAATGGACGACCCCACAACATTGATTTGAAAGACATATGAGTAATTAGAATTTGTATTATTTTCGCATGTTTGCTGGTCCAACATCTCCAATTGATCTTTATATATGATTGGGGAGTTTTGTAAAAGTGCCACTTGGCAAGAAATTAAAGCACACATATGAGAGAAAATCCATTAATTTAGTTAAACTATCCTCCTTCAATCAACCAACCATATTTTCCTTTTAACGAAATTGTTAATTAGGCATTGTTTTCAATCAATTAGCCTCCACTAGATTGATTAGAGAAAATCTCTCTAATTGATTTAAAACCGACCTGGTGGCCGAATCAGTCAGGGGTCCGATTATCGGGTCGAACGGTTTGACTGATCGAATTCAACGTTCGGCCCATTCTAATAAAAAAATAAAAAAATTCAAAAAAATAAATAACGGTTAAAACCGTTCGAACGATTAATCGTTCGGTTTAGTGGTTTGCTGATCAAAATTAACAGTTTTTTGGGGGAAATCGGTTTTTAGGAAAAACGGAATTGGTCACCTAACCAACTCCCGATTTTCCAGTTCGACTGTCCGATCCGGTCCGGTTTTAAAAACCATGTTTGAGAGAATTCAAGTGATCTAAGAGAAAATCTTTCTGATTGTCATGAATAATGGGTCCTAACTCAATATTTAATTCAAATTTAATCCTCATCATGGAAGATGCTTAGAGATAAGCCATTCCCCTATTCAATTTGGTTTGTAGTGGGCCTACCCAACATACTCTTAGGCTTAGGTTTAACGATCCTTTCTTCAACCTCCGCTCAATTCTTGTCCGGCTAATACATTAAGGGGTCCATTTTCTAGTTAGCTGTCACATTGGTCCCATCTAATGTTTTTCTTGGGTCCATTTTGTATTAGGGTAAATTGAATTAGGGTAAATTTTGCACCCTCGATTGCAGATATTTGGTAAACATGTAATTTTACACCGAAAATTGTTTAATTACATCAATAATCGATGTTATTACATCTCTCTCCTTCTCTCTTCCTCCAACGAGAATAGAGAGGTGGAGACAACAATGGTTGCGAGGGCAAGAACCGATCTTCCAAGGCAAGGTTGACCGTTGACGAGAACAGAAAACAGAAAACAGAGAGGCGGCGATAGCAGTGGTTATCTGTTCATCATCTTCCTCTGATGAGAATAGAGAGGTGGCAATGAGAACAGCAGTGGTTGCCTTCCCCATGACCGTCGCTTTGATGTTTGCCGCAGCGGTGGAGGTGGTGCGAGCGTAGT